TAAGAGAAGACTTTCAAGAATAACAATATTTCTAAGAATACCAAAATTTAATTCAATTTAGCAGAGGGAGCATTTAAATAAGGTAATCAAAGAGTAACTAATAAACGGGACCAACATATGGTTCCACAATTTCACAAAGAGATATAACGGTCATTAGTTTTCAAAAATTGTAATCCTAACAAATACTAAGGTATATCTCTGTCAAATTCTGTTTCCTCAATTTTACATCATCATCTAGTTATGGGACAAAAAAATCGTTGTTTCCAAAAACAGCAGACAGGGTCTTCAACAACCCTTGAAAAAATAGTAGCTAGTTTAGAAAGCATTGAACCTATGTGCCCACCTACAATAGTCCAGCAAGGTGCTTTGGGATTGTCGTCATTTTTTTTTTTCGTCCTTTGCATGTGATGTGACTCAGTGGAGCATAGTTGCATAACCTTTTTGAGCCTAAGATTTCTCCCTCACATCCGTTATGGTACAAGAGGGATTTTGCTTCGCCGGTTCCTTGGGGATTTGAAATAAAGGGCATCTACTGGCGCTGCTATGCAAATTACACAAAAGGACAGATTTTCACTCTTGCTATGTACTTCCTATTGTTACGTAATTCCTATCTCTATGAATTAATTTCATAAAAAATGAGAACTTGAACTGGCACATATTCACGTCAAGTCTCTGAAAATACCAAAAATATATCATTGAATGAGTTAAAAATAGTCATGATTAAGTGAGACTACTCGCTTCTCATCAAAATATCACATAAATCTCCAAAACTATTTTCCTTAAAAAAAATTACTGCAGAGCTATTCAGGACACTTACCATAGGCTTCTTTCTTTAGCATTGGTTTGGTGTCAAATTGCATGAAGAGAACAAAGACCAAGTCAGCCCAGCAAAATGGAGTAAGAATAATTGTTAAGGGCAGAAAAAATGAGTGCACAAAACATGAAAATAGATATTAAAAAAGAAATCAGAAACAAAATCTGAACCTGCAGAAGGATCTGAGTCATGCACCAACGGAACCCAGACATAACAGCAGCAAGCATAACAAGTACAAATCCCCAAAATTCAAATTCTGTCTCTTTTGCAACTGCATCTCAAGGGAATTGTATTTCAGATGGACATACAAATTTCTCAGCGTGCAGAAGTTTCTAAGGCTTAAAAAATGTACTTAGCCACTGAAGAAAGGAAAAAGGAAAAAAGAAAAAAACATTGTGCAGATGTATAAAATATCATTGTTGGTCCTTACAGCTTGATCCAATTTTGGTTTTAATTGCTGTAGTTTCAAATCGTTAGTTTTGATCCCTATAGTTTCATAAGGGCTTAATCTAAATTTAAGTATAGGAACCAAAACCAAATCGTGTTAAAAGTAATAAGAACCATTCGTTAAACTCAAACTGAAAAATTATAAAACTATAGGGACCAAAGCCAACAATTTGAAACTATAGGGACCAAAACCAAAATTCAATCAAACTATAAGGACTAACAATGGTATTAACCCTATAAAGTAATAACTTTTATAATGGAATAAAAAAGAAGCATTCCTCATATGAAGGTCAAATAGTTAACTGTCCATACTTGACCACTTGACCAGGTATTCACTGCATAAAACCAACACTTAGAACCAATTTGAGAATGACCAAAAACACTCCGACCGTGGAACGATTTCCTTTGACAAGTTATAAAGAGTTTGGTAAATTAAGTAGGGCAAAACACAGGCAATGTACACCCTTAGCAGTGTTATGGTGTATTTGGTTTGACCAAGATGCACACATTTTCAAGGGTGTTTCATTGTTTGTCCAGTAATGAGAATTACATTGATATTCTGCTTTTTTTGTAACAATCAATGCAAATCAAAATCCAAATTAAAAGGCATGAAAGCTAGAGCTGCCATATATACCTGTTAGTAATATACCAATGGAGATAACTAAGATGATGCCTGACAGTTTAAAGCTTGGAGTCTCCAACCTTCCAATCAAAATTTGCAATTAAATGACAGTAAACAGGTATTAGTGCTGAAAATGCATGTATCTACAAACAGACACGCAAGACAAGTTTTAGAAACTCAACCCAAAAAAATGCTTTTCATGGAAAGCACAATATAATATGAAGTGTTCATTTTCATACATGTAACAAAAGATGAAAGGAGACCAGTCTAATTTCTGTGGTATCAGCATAAACATTGATTTTTCTCCTGAAGTAAAATTGCTTGGACTGGGAGCACTGTGGTAGACAACAGTAGCCACAGGATGTGGCTTGTGAATATTAGGCACTAAACATCTTACATCACCTATCAAAACTCAATCGGTAATCCTAGACAGTTTAAAAAACCTATGCCTCCATTCGACTTTAGATGGATTCACATTAAATGAATTAAACTACAAAGCATCATTCCCATCCACCGTCACATGATTCTAGGATTTTATTTTCTTTCAGATAAACAATTTAGAACTTGAAGCCCTGAATAAAAATCAATTTTTCATAGAACTTCACAACTGGGAACCATATGGGCATACAAAAATGGATCAACTAATTGACAGTGACACTGAAAAATGTTTAAATTCACAGTTGGAAACCATATGGGCATACATAAATAGATCAACTAATTGACAGTAACACTGAAAAATGTTTAAATTTACTTTAGAACTAAGAACTTGGCGAAAGTTTTGGATAATCACAGCATGACAAGAAAGTGCTATTCCTCAAAGCTAAAGGTTTCTACAATTTGAAGTCTTCTGGGGCCACTAAAAGTTCTGTCACACAACATAAGTCTACCTTTCGTATAGAATCAGTAACCATTTAGGTACTACATAATTGATAGTTTGCAGACAATGTTGTATTTTAGGAATGGTCAGAATTCATAATATAGAATTTAATTGCCTCAATGTATCTTAGAGATGTAATTCCTCATAACTGACTGTTCAATTTTGATCCCCAGCATTCAGAGGTCACAAAAACAGAAAGAACAATTACAAAGATCAAAAGACTATTCACCTGAAAGCAAAAGCAAATAGAAGGAGAAAAATTGGAGCAGCAGATTTACACTGCAAGAAAGAAAATAAAATAGAGGTAAATGTAGAGAATAAGGATAGTTACTTCCTCAGGGCAAGAAAAACAGAAAGAAAGAGAGAAAATGCAGTCTTCAGTAACAATACAAAATAAAATAGATATTATTTGACGTTTTCCTCACGATGAACAACAAGAAGAGAAACGTCACTAACCATTGTAGCAAAAGTGACAGAGATGAAAACAAGAGAAGCATTGCTCAAGTTAATATCAAATGCTGTCCCTAGAGCAGTTGGTACAACTGTGAAAGGCAAATTCCATCTGTGGCATTAGTTGATAGAAAAGTCAATAAAGTAAGTGGTTATAAATTTACAATAAAAGCACTGACACGTGGAGAAGGGGAAATTTTTTTATTAAAAAAAAAAAAGTTATACAATTTTCCATAACAAATATTCTTCGACCATTTCATGTCAAAAGCATATGTGTGCATTCCATGAAGAGGATGATAATCTGAAAGATAAAACAATTACAAGAATCCATTCATGTGTGTGTGCGCGTGCATGTAACACACAGTCACACACACACACACCCACGCACGCACACGCGTGCACAAAGCAATAAATTAGGATGTGATGTAAATTATGGGGATATGAGAAAAGATGAGCAAAAAGAGATATTGTTGTAGAAAATACTTGTCAGTATTTTTAAAAAAAGAAAAGAAACTTCACCAAAATTCTGTTTAAAATAGGACACTCCCAATAGAATAAGATTAAACACAATGGCATAGAATGGCTGAAAAAGCTCTTGTAGGGCTGTAATAATGACATCATTGGATTGTAATTCATAATAATTCAATTTTTTCAATAAAAATACAATAACTTTAGGAGAGCCAAAAAAGCTTTGAAAGTACAAAGACATGGAGATCAACAATCAACCATAGTTCCGGAAGTAGATAGAAGATAATTGAGGATTAATGTGCCAATTTCAGTTAATTCTTTGGTAGTGATCAAACAAGATATTGGGGATGAACACAGCATCTTTCTCTTCTCTGTCAAAGACCCAGTCAATGCCCAATACAAAGTTATTCGGCTAGAGTTTATTAACTCTATTCTGGTGGAAATATTACCGTCCACTCAAAATCTACAAGTTATCGATTCCAATTACTGTGCTCGTCATCATTTTAAGACAATATTATTCCAAGGTTTTGATAACATATATTTATACTTGAAGAAAGAAGGCAAAAAAATAAAAATAAAATAAAATATACCCAAATTACATATTTACCTTGCCATAAGTAATCCCTCCAAGACATAGAAACACTAGTTTGGAATCTATGAGACCAAAACCAAGTGATAAAGTTTGAAAACACAGCTTGCATTGCAAAGTGGATAGTATTCATCAGGAAAGGAGCTGGAAACTTTCCCATAGTGTCACCTAACAGACTTTTATTGTACCTGTTTACAAGTCCAGCATAAGAAAACTACAGGAAAGGGAAAATAAAAAATAAAAAGATGAATTTATACATCGTTTGCTTGCAGAAGGAACTTACAGGGTCAAAAAGAGGCTGAAAGTGTACCATAAAAGTATGAAAAACAATGTCTTTAGAATATCTGCAGCAGAAACAAGATTTGCTGAGCTTCCTCTCAATGATCCATGCCTAGCTAGAGAAACGGTAGAGTCACCAACTTTTTGCCTTGCAGCCCCATTTTCAATGTCTAAAGGAACATACTTCTCAGATCCATTACCATTCAGATAAACAGTATCATCACCCATGGTGCCAACACCATTCATATGCATACCCTTATGCTGATACCTTATTTGCAGCTGATCTGTGTCAATAAAAGGCAATTCAAAATCAGAATCTCTGGCTTCCTCTCGGCTAGCATCTGCATTACTTAATTGTTGATCCAAATGGACCCTTGAATCTTCATCACACCAACGAGAAAATGAAAGCTCTCTACTCATACAAAAGCCCAGGATTTTATTGTCGATGTTGAGTATCCCTCAGGTCAAACTTTTTTGAATCCAAGCTCCCTTGCACCATTTCGATCTGTATAGTGAGCCATTTATGTGCTCTAGACGAATCAAGCCAACTGATGACCAATTGATTCACCACTTGGTACCAGATTAAACAATACAAGTTCACTTAGGTGCATAAAACAGCTAGCACCTGAACCACAGTTCAGGCAGGGGACCTTTCTTCATAATCAAAGTTGTCCAATCACAACAGAATAAACAAACAATTAGTAGATATAGTCGTCTTCACGCTCACACAAGACAGGCAGATATGTACTGGTTTCCTAAACCAACAGAAGCAGCTTCTCCTAAGCTTCTAGATAGTCAATCTGCTATAGTAGCTCAGATCAAAACTAGAAACGCCAACTTTACCTATACAAAAGAAAAATTCATACAGGGATGGCTAAATCAGCTTCATTCATGTTCAAGCATAGATATAGACAAGAATATTTAGCTGAGAAACCAGAGGATTAGTGTATCTTTATATCCAAATCATAATCTGAAAACCCACACCATAGAATTCGAAACTTAAGATCAAAAGCAATTTTTTTTCAAATAAACCCCAATCCAAAGCAAATGCAAATGACCCAGCATGAACCAACCATGTTTCCAATGAACAATCAACAACACATTAAGGTAGTCAGAGCATGAACCACACCAAAAAGTCAAAGCACAGGGCAACTCACCTGAGAACGGTTGACAAACAGAGAGTGTGAAGGAAGCAAAGGAGAATAAAATGTGAAGTAGGGGGCGAGAGATCTGAAGGGAGTGTCTTTGGATCGAAGTTTAGGTGAGAAAGCGTACAGTCAGAAGCGGTGTAGGTTTGGACGCAATCGTCTGATATTGGTGATGCCGCTCCTGTTGTACCTTCCTCAATCGACATCAGTGTTTCTTCGGTGTTAAAGAGAAAGGAACATCATTGTTCCTTCGATTTTAAGCGAGTAATTTCGCTTTGCCTTGTGATTTTTCAACGCTTCAAATTTTGGCACAGCCCTGAGGAAGGGCAAAAACCTTCAAATTTTGGTCAATTCCTCTCGTGAGGCGGCAAGGTTAGGGAGAATTACAACTCAATGCCCAAAATTCCCCAACAATTAAAAATGTTAATTATTAATCTAACTATTTTAACTACTAATGTAAAGGGTAAAATTGTTGTGATTCTAAAAATTTACACCGAAAATTTTTTGAATACTAAGAATCTTGAGTGAAAACTTTTAATACAAATTTGCACTTTAACTTTACAAATAATATCATAACTTAGAAAATTTACTATTAAATTCACTTGAAATTACAATTTTTTAACAAGGAAGCCTTAGATAAACAGAGAGCAATAAAAGCTTAATGAAGGGTATATTAATAATAGAATATGAATTGGAGAAGTGAATGAAAAGATGAAATAAGAATTTATCCTAACTCAATCCAATATATGCATATTATATTCAGTCCTCAAGATCATACATGAAATTTTGTACTAACTCTCATAGGCTAATCTCCAAGACTTAAATCTCTAGGCCTTGTAACTTTACAATTCCAGCTAGCAAAACCTTGCAATCTCTTATAAGGTCAAACACCTTGGGATCAAATTTTGAGTGGTTAGGTTTACTACTTTATAAAATAATTTTTTATTTTTTCTTAATTTTAATTTTTGACTATATTTATTTATCCTTTGTATTTTTCATATTTTAATAACAGTTTTTGTGGAATGCTAAATCCTAGCCACTTAATATTTAATCCAATAATTGGGTGGAAGATAGAGGGAAAGTTGAAGGGGAAAAGGAAAGAAGAGAAGGCAAGTTGCCAAAGTAACACATCTGAAATCCGAACAATTTAATGTAAAAAAAACCGCTATGTCTGCAAGAGAAAAAAAAAATACTAGCTTTAATGTTTAATATAAGACCTTATTTAATTTTTATTTTGATTCTAAATATAACACTTCAATCCACTTTGTCTCTTATATTTATCCTCTTTTTTTTCAAGATAATCCTTCTAATAATGGTAGTTTTAGCCAATAAACTTGATTAACAAGGATATTTTAGGAAAAGCAACACCTGTTTATTACAAATAACTAACTTAACAACTTATTTTCTTAATTTATTCAAATTAATCAACTAGTTCTTATACTACCTCCGGTTCTTAATATAAGACCTTGTTTGACTTTTATTTTAATCCTAAATATAAAACCTCAATCTACTTTGTCTCTCATATTTATCTTTTGTTTTTAAAGATAGTCCTTCTAATAATGATAGTTCTAGTTAATAAACTTGATTAGCAAGGATATTTTAGGAAAGACAACACCTGTTTATTACAAATAACTAACTTAACTTAGTTGTTTAATCTATTTAAATTAGTCAACTAGCTCTTACATTTAAAATCGAAAGTAGTATTTAGGACCCGAGGTAGTATTTGCTTGTTTTTATATTATAAAAGGGTTTTTAATCATCTTCCGGTGTTCTCCAAATGTTATATACAACAGTGTTGGTAGAGCCATGAAGCTCACTCTTCGTATCCTCCGAGGAGCCAAAGTTTGCGCATAGACAGCCCAAAGGTTCATAACGCATGATCGAAAATTCTATCATTACCAGCAAGATATTGTTAAAAACTCACTCCATCTTAGACATTAGCTGTGAGTACCTCTTTCAATAGAAATTAAAATCTCGGTTTGTCACGTGGTTATTAAATTTTATAATCATCTGTAAGTTGTGAAGTTTCATTGGGCATATTGTGTCGGCCCATGAGGAGGGATATGGCCAAATGGGCTTTTATGGGCTTAAACAGCAGAAACATTGTGACACCCAAAAACCATAATGGGTTGTAATTTAAAAGTGAGTAAGCTCCCCAACCCACCCCCAAAAAAACAAAAGACTCAGAGAATGTCTCAGCGTGTGTCTGCGTGTGTGGAAGTTTAGCCCAGTGTTGTGCAGGGGGCAAAAAAAAAAAAAAGAAAGAAAGAAAGTTTAGCCAAATGTTATAACTGAATATCCTTCTTTTTTTCTTAATAAGAATAATTGAATATCCTTCTCAGTTCTCACCAACAGTTGAACGACATGTCACCTGAAATGATAAAAATAGATTCGGATTTTTTATAAGCAATTTATAGATGGTCGTGTCAAGAAAACGAGCTCCAAAAATGTAAGAGTAGGATTGATCCAGTAATTAAACTATAAGAAAATTTGAAAAAGATTGAGTAAAAGATTGGCAATATAAGTGCTCCTTCCGGTCCTTTATGTAAATTCTTTTATAATTTATGAAAACTAGCTAAAATTAGTTAAATATTAAATATTTTTACAAGTTTCCAAAATTACTACTCCCTCTAGTCCTAAATGTAGGAGATAATTTTGTTTTAATTCTAAATATAATATCTCAATTCACTTTGTTTATATAAAATATTATAAAATTTATAATTTTTTCAAATTATTATTATTGATTGTACATATTAAAAAAAAGTTTTTATATGAAACATGTTTGATTGCAAATGATTAATGGGAGTATCGTAAGAAAATCAATATATATCTTTTACAAATAAAGTAATTCAATTAATTCCTTTAATCTCCACGAATAAGTATTTTTTTATGTTTCATGAAACAAAATTCTTCTAACCTATTTATCTTATATCGTGTAAAATTACTTTTTCAGTGGTAATTCAAACCGTCTATCAGTAAGCCGAAGACGGGTAAAATGAAAAATCCAATATTTAAATTAAACCAAGCGGGGAAAACAAAAAGGAGATGACAATTTTTTTAAGCAATTCATACTATTTCTTATCATTACTTTTTTCTTAATATCAAAATTGGTAATAAAAAAACAGGAAAAGGAAAAGACATAATGGAGGGTGAGACTGCTATATATTGACGCATGAGTCTCACCCGTTTGAATTTCATTCCCTATTTCCAAAGAGTTTCAGTTTCTCAACCTCCTTTTCTGTGTCTCTCAATCTCATTCCTCATTTTCTCTATTCTCTCTCATAATTTGACTTCTCAACATTATTTATTCCTATTCACTCATTTATAGCATTAAACTCTCTTTCTCTCTCCCTCTAGATCTCTCTCATTCATAATATATATATATATATATATATATATATATATATATATATAGTGAGCTTCACTAGCCTTGTTCAACAACCCACTATTTATCATCAGAATCCATATTCGCCAGTACATACATAGTAGTGTGTTGTTTTGTTTCGGTTCAGAATTATGTGATGGCGGAATTCGCCATATCCGTGGTATTTGCTTCTCTGCTATTTTCTCTCTCTTCTCTAACAATAGAATCTGAAGGGAACATTAATAACTGTGATTTGTTTGATGGGATTTGGGTGTACGATGAATCGTATCCTCTGTATGAATCATCGGACTGTGATTTCATAGAGAAACAGTTTGATTGTTCTAATAATGGTCGTCTTGATAACTTCTATCCTAAGTATAGTTGGCAACCTTCGGCCTGCAAATTACCAAGGTAAGTACATACATGCTGAATAATTTAGTTTTGTTGGTTAAAAGTTTTAAATATGTTATACTCTTCCTGAACTCAACGTACAATTTAATTAGAGAGTTAATTTTGGTTATACATGTAATACTTATTTCACATATTCATCAATTTTTTCAAATTAATTTTATTAATATTTTCTCAATAATAACCAAGTAGGAGAGGGAAGAGGAAGATTAAGAAAGATACTTAAGGTGTTTAAAAAATATATATTAGCTAATTTTACTAACATTCTTAATCTATTCAAATTAGTTAATTACATCTTACATTAAAAACTGGAAGTACTCTTCTCCATTCTCATTTTTAGAATTTAATGCAACACATAAACCAACGAATTAACGATGGAATTTGCAAAGTCCGTCAAAAAAGACTATCATTAATTAATTAGCAATGAAATTTTGTCATTAAACTGAATTGATTATTCATGATGAAAATTCTATTTGCTGTATTTTCGTAGTATTTTGTAATGTAATTTTTTCTAGTTAAAGGACTTGTTTAATTGGTTAGTAAATAAGTAAGCTTTGGATTTTTTTTTTTTTGGGTGGGTGTTTGAGCAGGTTCCATGGTGAAGATTTCTTGGAGAGAATGAGAGGGAAAAGTATAATGTTTGTGGGAGATTCTCTGAGTTTGAACCAATGGCAGTCACTCACCTGTATGCTTCATAAATCTGTTCCTCAATCTCAGTACACCAATGATAGGATCGGACTTCTCTCCACCTTCACTTTCCCGGTTAGATCTTTTTCTCTTTTCATACCTCAAATTCAATTACTATATTCTATCATAAACGTAAAAACTAGTTATTTTGATTATAAATGTAAGACATTAATTTACGTTAATTTATGATTTTTTTTCTAAACTACCCCATTGTTGCATATATTAATTAAAGGGAAATTGTATCAATAAAGTAATTCTCAATATAAATAATTAAAATGGTAATCTAAAAAATCAGCACACAACATTTATTTTTACAAATAATTAACTTAACTAATTTTATTGATCTCTTAACTCTTATATTTATGATTATAAGAAGTATTTCAGATGTAACCACTAAGTGATAGGTAACACAAAAGATAGAATCTCGTGCTTTAAGTTGAAGTGTCTGTATATGATTCCTCGGTTTTAACTAATATTACTTCCTAACTACTTGTCTCTTTGTTATATTGATTAATCATGTATAGGAAGAAAATTAAGGATCTAAATCACCTGACGAAAATAAAAAAACATGATAAATAATTAACCAAGAAATATTATGCTAATTTTATACTATCTCTGGTCCTTAATATAGTACTCTATTTTACTTTTATTTTTGTCCTAAATATAAAATCCCAGTCCACTTTATCTCTCATATTTATATATATTTTTTTAAAGGTAATCCTTTTAATTATAGTAGTTCTAGTTAATACACTTGATTAGTAAGGATATTTTAGGAAAGACAACGCATATTTATTACAAATAACTAACTTAACTTATTTTTTTAATCTATTCAAATTAGTTAAT